CCGCGCCTTCGCTCGTCGGCGACTGCCCTCGGCAATCTTTGAAAAAACCCGACTCGTAATCTCTCCCCTTCCATCTCCAGGTCGGAGAAATCGAGGAGGGCCCCAGGATGTTTTTCGCCCGCCATCAGTCACGCAGAGCCACAAGGTCCTCGACCGCCGTGGTACGGCTCGTCGCCGGCGTCGAATCGGGGGGTGGAAGGGGTGATGTGGTGGCGCCCCAAGGGGAGCGGTCGGAGTCGCCCCGAGAGAGACGGCCAGCCATCCAACAAGCCTTCACTTGCAAGCAGCTTTGCTGATGTCGTCGACCACAGAATATCATGTTCATGGTATCTAGTGAACATGGCGAAATGGCAAACAACAAATACCGCAGGTACCTGGATAATCACAAAACCACGACGACGTACGAAGCAAGAATTCCACGCGCGAGGAAGTCCACCAATGCAATACTTAATTAATTATTAGTTTGGACTAGGATCGGGCCGGTGACTAGTCATGTTAATTAACCATCCAAAAGCAGTAAACGACAGTGAACACGCAGGCTGAATCTTCTCGCAGGCTGCAGCTTCGGCTAAAAGAATGTCACAGAAGTCACTTGCACGAACCGCACATGCAATGCGCACGGGGCAATATAAAGGCGCGAGAAACAAACAAAAGCGACGCTGATGCATCCAATGCAACTTTATTTGTTTTGGCATCCAATGCTCTACGCGTAGATGGAACACGCATATTTGCACGTTTTTTAAGGTGACACGATCGCAGCCGAAAGAAGCCGCGTAACTGTGCAAGCCTGCCTGCTATATAAAGTGGTCAACCGTGCAGACCGCTGGGCAACGGAAGGACATTGAGAGACCGCCAAGGTGAAGGACATTGAGAGACCGCAGCAACAGAAGAACAAGCAAGCGAGCTGCTGCTCATCAGTCCATCGGCCCATGGCACTGGACTACTTGACGTGGTGGCTCAGCCCTGGCGTGGCGTGCTTCCTCTTCTTGAACGCGCTCGTCGCCGCAATCGCGGTCACGTCCCGGTCCCGCGCCCAGCAGGGCGGCCGTGCGGCGTCGACGACGCGCAGGAAGCTCTGCCGCAGCGCGTCGTCCATGGTCCTCGACCGCCTCCGGTCCTTCTCCGCCATGTTCTCCACGGACCCGTTCGTAGAGCTCTGCTACTACTACGTATCCCCGGAAGCAGAGGAACAGAATCAGGTGAGCGGGGCCGGGGCGGCACCTGATCGCCAGTTGGCCGTGCCGGAACCTGCGTCGTCCGTGGCGGCGATTTCGATGATGTCCAGGAACGTAGAGGATGAAACGGCCGCAGGGGCGGTGAAGTCCATGGTGAGCTCCGACGGGGACGGGACGTGCGCGCTCGGCCAGGAGGGGCGCCATGCGCAGGAACCGATGCCGTCACCACCACCACCACCAGCTGCTCCGGCGGCTGTGGCCGTGGTCACCGCGGAGACAGCTAGAGTGGCGGCGCTGGTGCGTGGACCGCCGGAGGAGGAGCCAGCGACGGTGGCAGAGTTTGTGAAACGGAAGCACCGCCGCGGCGATCGTGTTTACGCGGTGGAAGGGAAGGCGGAGTTGAACGCGCGGGCGGAGCAGTTCATCCGGCAGTTCCGGCAGGAGCTCAAGCTGCAACGCCTTGACTCCATGCTCAGCCGCCACGCGCACACGCTCAGCACCGGCTCGGGCGCACCAACAAGCCGGGAGCTCCAATCCGGTTGTTCGATATAATACCTCTCTTCTTGTCAGAGGAGCTAGCGTTCCGGATTTATTTGCTCATAGTATTAACTAAACGATTCTCTGCGCGTTGCTGCGGAAGTTTGTTACTTTTTAAGGTGGATTTATTTGAGTGATATAAGTTCTCACTACCTGAGTTTGGCTTCTTATGCAACCAAGAATACGTGTGAATCTAGCTTCTGATAGATTTGGGAGAGAGTTAGAGACGGAAGGAAAAAATCGCTCTTTAATATTATATTGTTAAACATGCTAATTTGTTTCTTGTACCAATAACAATGAGCTAGCTATTGTTGTTGAATTTAAATAGGCTTGGTCCAATCTTAAATCAAATAGATTTCATGTTGCCCAAAACCCAATATGTTGCCCACGTTTGCACCAACATGGGCTACACGGCCAATGTGTCGCCCAAGAACCGAAGGAGGTTGCTCTATTTGCTTTAGCTTGTATGGACAACTGGTGATTATATTTTGGTACAAGTTGTATGCACTAAGGTCGTTTGCCCAATGTTAAATCAAATAAATTCTATGTTGCCCACAAACATGGAGCATTGAACAAACTTTACAATGGCACAAGGGAATATATGGTTCGCTTCACGAAGTGCACTAGCATCAGCCTTTTTCCCGTCTGTCATTTCAGGAGGGTTTAGTGAAGAAGACACCCAATGCTTGAACTCATTATTGTACGGCCAACTCTTGCTCTTGTCATATGGGAAAGGCCAAACCTTAGGATCGACCATTTTCGGTCCATCTATCCACCGAAAGGATCAACATGGCTCAACCCTCCAATGAAGGCTCCATACTAGCTTCAGTTGACATGTGTAGTAAACACTCGCTGTCGATTCGGAATGCCTTTTTGATTGCTTTACATGTACAGGATGGCCACGATCATCATTAGGTATAGGATAGCGGGAAGCACAATCCATTTTCATCATCACCATGCATGCATGGGATAGTCAGGCATGTTCTTTGGGAATAACCAAGACATTGGACCTAACATCATGAGTAAAAAATATTGCAAAAATTCATTATGCATCGCGAAAAATTATTTCAATAAGAATACAATGTCTAATTTCCTTCAACCTTATTATTCTGTGATCAAATTAGAATTGCTATAGCTATGTAGCTCTAAACATTTCCTACGTACAAAATATCCATCTCATGGTTAATTGCAATCTTAATCCATAACCCTAGCTCAAACAGACATAAAAAATAATGCATTTACATAATATGTACTCTTTCATATTAAACTCGAGCCACTACTATCCTCTCACACTAAACATATCATTTACTCAAATTAAATGATGGTTTCAACAACTAACACTAAGTTAAACACTAATGAAAAAACTAACTGAATCGAGACTCAAAATTACTACTTCGAGAGTGGAAAACCAACCTTAAATGCAGGGAACTAAATCTTCTTAAAGGATCAGATTTGGTGGATTTTGCTCCAAAGATGCGGTTCTATGCACAACAACTTGAAAAAGGTTCAGATTAGAGAAGAAGGAAAATGGGGGAAGCAGAGGAAGGGGCTGGCCTGACCCCCTTAATATGCCCTAGGCACACCAAGCGGGATGGCGTGGTAATGCTGGTGCGCCAAGCGACTTGGCGCGCAAAAAGGGGGGGGGCATTGACAAGCCAAGCTGGATCTGAGGTGCCAAGTGGCACTTTGTTGCACCCTATGTGCATTGGCGCGGTAGCGCGGTTTTACCGCCCCATGTGACGCGGTCAAAAGAGTTAGTTTAAAGAAAAACCCTAAAATAGGTTATTAATTAAAAATAGGCCTAGCGGACGACACTTAAATTCTAGGTCTCAAGTAAAAATAAGCCTTATTTTTCTACATAGACCCGTCATTAATAGGCCGCCGCTCATGTTTTGGACTGGTTTGGCTATTATATATACAATCAGTTTATGCCCCGTTTCCAACAGAGAGAGAGAGAGAGAGAATTCTAAAGAACTGAAATCCTATATCCCCATGGAATGGCTTGTCTCATAGGAATTTTGGAGAAATTCCACCAAGAGTTTGACTCTCATGATTTTTTTTTCTTCCTTTTGTGTCACGCTCTTGCATCCTGTATTTTTTTACATTCCATTCAAACATTCTATCTTGTAGTTTTATTGTTCTTCTTAAAACCGATAGGATTGATGCTTAAACAGACTCTGTTCCTGTTCCTTAGTATTTTCTATTCATATATTTTCCAGAATCGTTGCTTTCATGCTAGAAAAAATTGTATATGTATGCTATGCACATCAGCTCACGAGTCACGACCAATCACATATTCACATCATACTGGTGCATGACAAATATCGGTCCCTATATAGTACAGCTGGTGCCGCCGTATATGAGGAGAGTAAGGGTATTAGCTGCTAATAGTTAACTACCTGATATGCCACACCTACTGTTAGCTACTAATATAGCTTAGCTAGTTTAGTCCAGGTAGCTAGTGAAATAGTTGTTAGTTAGGCATACAGCTAAGAATTAGCAAAACTAGTAAGCCTGTTCGCTTGCTCGTATACGATCGTGGATTTATCGATTTTTTTATATTTTTGCTCTTTTTTGAAAGTTTCTAATAAATACACCCCTGGCGGAAAGAATTCGGAAAATGGACCCTTAGCTTGGCGCCATTAATGCTGGCGCCGAGCTAGGCGCTAGCGTCTCTGGCGTCGAGCTGCTGGGCACGGTGAAAATGCCTGCCAGGGGGCTCGGCGCCGGTCACTCTGGCGCCGAGCTCGGCGCCATGAGCCTCCTGCCATTTAAAAGTGCATGCAGTGCAGTAACGAGTAGTACATGCTCACTTTTAAAAGTGCATGCAGTGGCGCAGACTGACACAGCGCATTTAATTGGACTTGAAGAGTCACATGAGAGTAGTATATTCAATGGGGACCGTGCAGCGCATGCGGGAGCTGCACTTCAACATATTCAACTATGCCCTTGTTTAGTTGCCCAAAGTTAGCGCCGTCGGAATCACTGTAGCGCACTTTAGCGCACTGTAGTATTTCGTTTGTATTTGGTAATAATTGTCCAATCGTTGACTAATTAAGTTCAAAACGTTCGTCTCGCAAAGTACAACCAAACTGTGCAATTAGTTTTTGATTTCGTCAACATTTAGTACTCCATGCATGTACCGTAAGTTTGATGTGACGGAAAATCTTCTTTTTACGTAATGCCAAAGTTGGGATTTTGGAGTACTAAACAAGGCCTATACCACTCAGTTTCACCCACCCCAAGCAAGGACAGAAACGACAGGCTTAGTGCTATATTTGCATAATGTTAAAAGATGACACATACATTGTACAGTGAGATTAATAAAGTCACTCGCTTGCTGTTCACTGTCCGCAACTGCTGCCTTTCAGCATCCATTGACCTTAAGGCCTCACTAGCCTGCTGACGAGCACGTTCCAGTTCCTGCTGTGCTGCTAATTGCAGAGAAGCAGCCTGCTCAGCCTTCTGATTAACTTCATTAAACCGAGCTTCCAGGTCATCTTTTTCCTGTAAATGTGTAGGAAAAAACACTAAAGATCAACTTCTTGTTTCAATAATTCAGTATATTCACGAAACATGAGAAACAGGCAGCAAAGAGTCGATTACACCACAACAATCGTTGAATCAAATTGTACTAGTTTATTCTCAAACTAATGTGCACATAGGACAGCTGAAAAATTCCATATTTAGGGAGAGACTGAGGCAGTGAAGTAAAAGATCTACTATTTTCAAGCTAAAGTGAAGATAGGACAGATCAAAAATTGGTTACTTCTTACCTTTTGTATATCTTGTATACGTTGTTTTGCACGCTTGTGAAGCCTCAGAAACTTGGTATCCAGCTCAACATATTTGTCGTCGCGTTCTTCTAGTTCCTTTTCCATTTTTTGTTCAGCTACATGCATGGAACTAATGATGAATTAGACTCTGAAACCAAAAAAAAGGGGGGCAGCAAGGACTAGGTTGTATTACAGATTATAATGACATATGTCATGACCTCATAAATCTATTCCAGCTTTCAATTTTAGTTCTTATTATCTACTAAATATTTTTCTCCATATTTTATGTTGAAACTCTAGTGAGTTGCCGTTGCTTTTATTCAAAAATCTCATTTCTATTTTGTTAAATAAGTATATTATAGGTCCTAAAATGCACTTTATTTACTCAACAATATACAGCCTGTTCAGCTGGGACCGAAACGATCGTTTACGACCAAGCGAACAGGACGATACACAACCATTTGGGGGCTCTAGATATTGAATTTCTTCTATCGAATAACTTTGTGTGTATTAGTAATTTCTTCTTGGCACCTCTGCTGTTTGTGCCATGTTTGCTTTCCATTTTGCTTTTAGAAATCATGGATTCTGTTGTTCAATCACATCCAGTCTTATTTTTAGTAAGAGCAGAGGAATAAAACTGAAATCACTGAGATACGAGCTTAAGACTGATCTTTGATGAAGTCCAATTTAAAACAGGGAGGGTAGATCATATTAGCATATTTAATTTTTCAGTGATACAACTATCTTAGCCACCTACTTTTCATGTACTGAGATGTAATTTAACCGTACAAGAAACAAATATAAGCAAATAAATAGGGGCTAGCTGATGTGACTCTTCAAGTAATTGAATGCGCTGCACCATCTGCTCCTCTGCATGCGCTGTACGGTCTCATTGAATGTACTACTCTGATGTGACTCTTCAAGTCCAATTAAATGCGCTGTGTCAGTCTGCGCCACTGCATGCACTTTTAAAAGTGAGCATGTACTACTCGCCACTGCACTGCATACACTTTTAAATGGCAGAGGCTCGGCGCCAGAGTGACTGGCGCCGAGTTCGGCGCCAGAATGACCGACGCCGAGCCCCCTGGCAGGCATTTTCACCGTGCCCAGCAGCTCGGCGCCAGCATCAATGGCGCCGAGTTAAGGGTCTATTTTCTGAATTCTTTTCGTCAGAGGTCTATTTGCGAGAAACTTTCAAAAAAGGGCCAAAATATAAAAAAATTTGCTGGATTATAAGTTGGAACAATATTTTTCTTTTACACTAAACCAGTAAACAGTAAATAATCCATAATCGTTTACGACGAAACGAATAGGCTGTATAACACGGTGGTAGCAGGACACGCTGCACGCAACAACAGTGATGACGCTGACGCCTGACGGGTCCATCTGCAGTGCACTGGCTGCCAGGAGGTCTTTCTTAAGAATAGAGGCGCGAGCTCTGATCCTTGCGTCAGGCAGAAGCTACCACCACACGGAGTGGCACTGGGCAGGATGTTCCAAGCCATGCAGCGCGTTGTAACGGGGAAGCGCAGGACCCAGCAGGCATCCTTGTCCTCCTTCGTCAACCACTTCTCCGTAGCTGTCATCACGGGGGCCACGAGTGGGATTGGCAAGGCGACCGCCACAGAGTTCGTCAGGAACGGCGCGAGGGTGATCCTGGCCGACGTGCAGGACGACCTGGGCCACGCCGCCGCCGCGTGCTACGGCCGCTGCGACGTCTCCGACGAGGCGCAGGTCGCCGCGGCCATCGACCTCGCCGTGGCGCGGTACGGCCGCCTCGACGTCGTGTTCAACAACGCAGGCGTCAGCGGCGACATGGCGCCGGCGCCGCTGGCCTCGGTCGACCTGGACGACCGACTTCGACCGCGTCATGGCGGTGCTCGCGGGCCTCAAGCACGCCGCGCCCGTCATGGTCCCGCGCCGCCGCGGCGGCAGCATCATCTGCACGGCCAGCACAGCGGGCGTGGTCGGCGGCGTGGCGATGCCCCCCTACAGCGTCTCCAAGGCGGCGGTGCTCGGGATCGTGCGCGCCGCGGCGGGGGAGCTGGCCCGCCCCGGCGTGCGCGTGAACGCCGTCTCGCCCAACTTCATCCCGACGCCGCTGGTGATGGACGCCATGGCCGTGTGGTTTCCCGGGAGGAGCGACGAGGAGCGCCAGCGCATCGTGAGGAACATGAACGAGATGGATGACCCCGGTGCTGGAGGTGCAGGACGTGGCCAGGGCGGCATTGTTCCTGGCGTCTGACGAGGCCAAGTACGTGAACGGCCACAATCTCATCGTCGATGGCGGGTTCACGGCTAGCAAAGTGCCAACACATGCCCACAACGCCACAGTGAGGAGAATCGGACCGATGGATTCCATAGGGATTTTCTTTTCGGAATAACTTGCATTGTTTTGCATTGGACATTAACAGTCCAGCTTGTCGCCATTTCTGATGATACTTTTCTTGCTTAATTAATGAATTGTATCGTGCATTGTGAGTTGACTTCCTTATCTTGTTAGTGTGGTTGAACAATGACTTTAATATATTGAAGAATTGGTACGGTGTTAACAGCTAATAATAACCATTATTCGCCAAATCGACCGCTCAGTCCGTTTAAACAATGTTTAAACCGTAAACGAAGACCACTCGTGTCGTTTAGAACCTATATGGTGAATTAAACAGTTGAACCGTTTAAACCGTTAAAAACCGTCTAAACATAATCGAGTTAAATGTGATTAAATGAGCTAAACAGACATTTAATTCACCATTTAGTCAATAAGAGAATTACAATTACCACATTTGGCACCAAACTAATTAATATCATATGTATATGACGTGTTGTAGGATGTAGTTTTCTTTTTTTAATATTTGGTAGCATACTTATTTTTTACATGTGTAGATATGTATAGTTTCTAGCATATTTCACTTATGTATATTCTAGAGTTCTTATACAAAACCATTTAGACATTAACTCCGTTAAACACCGTCTCAATGTTTTAACGCTAAACAACGGGTGACAAACTATTTACTATTTAGCACTTAGGATAACACTATAATAAATTGTAGAACTTAGGGTTTGACGGTCTTGGGGTGGATGGTGTTTTTTTTTTGTCACTAGAAGACTTGTTTGGTTGTACTTGTATCCATTTCAATCCACATATGTTGGGCGGATTATGGTGGAAATTAAACCAGTTTACACATCAATCCACCATAAGCTCTAAGGAATACTCTCCACACTTATTTTTAAGCTCTCTTTTATTTCCTTTTTGAATTACACAATATAGATACAAGTGCCAACAAACACGCATTGCACTTACTCTTATAAACGCACACATATCTCTATAAATGGATGTATGCAAATCCTATGTCTGTGAGCACCTCACCTTCTTTTCTAGCCATTCTTTGTTTTTTTTTGTGAAGTACACAATATAGATGTATGTCCACAAACACACACATCCACTCACTCCTATGGATGTACGCATAGCAGATCTCGAAGTTGACAAAGTTACCGTAGACAGTTCGTTGTCTATACAGTTCATACCTAGAACAATGTCGTAGCACCCCAGTTGCAACACCACCTTCAAAGTGGTGTGAAAAGTATTACTCTGGTAGTACCACTCACAGTTGGCTCATTCCTTGGTGCAAAACATAAGACCACCATCTGCTATATATCTTTACTTGGATAGGCTTTTGAACAATTCTGATTTTTGAGCAACCATGCATGGGTCAAATTGTCGCTGATGAAACTAGAAAAATTGCCACAATAGCATCGGTCCTGTTCGTTTATGCTGAATTTTGACTTATGCTGATGTTTATGCTGGTTCCATGGCTGAAAAGTAGCTCAAACGAATGGGACGATCAATACTTCCTTGCCATCTAGAAAACCTCCAACTCTCATTCTTCTGGGACTTACCCATGACTGCTTGTTTTGTAATGGCCAATAACTCCTCTTCGTCATTGTTAGGATCAGCAGCAACTTCCAACGTTATCTTTCAAACATGCAAAAATAGTCCCAACAATCCTTAACATAAAAATATTTTAAAACTGAACCTATCTATTCGTCTAGGGGTAAAATCATCATTTTGTCCCACACTTAACACCATTAGTGACCAAATCTGAGAGAGGGGCCATGTAAGAAAGGAAAGTTGGATTTCGAGCCAAATAGGAAACTTCAAATCTAAAAGATGATGAAGGAAGGAAGTCAGAGCTTTTTTTAGAGCCAAGAAAGGATTTTTCTCATGAAAACATGACATAAAACTCTTCATTGGAGGCATTATTTCATACCTCAACAACCGTGAGTTTATAGATGATATATACCTATCTTGAATACGACCACGAAACCCTCCACCGAAAAGATGGCCTTAGTTTGTAAAAAGATAAACAAAACAGAAAAAAAAACAAAAAATGGTCTTAGTTTTTATCAAAGTTTTTTGCTGCTGACTGGCTGTAACCGGTACAATTTTGCAGTAACTTGTGAGTAAGAATGCAGCCTGCAGCAGCCACAGCGGCTGTGAAACAGCCTGCCGAACAATGTGAAACAAAACAGAAAAGACAATGTGCTCCTCTTCCGTATTTTACGGTACAAGGAAAATTTTATGTTCCTGCGTCTGTGAATTGAACACGTCCTATGAAATTCCTACACGATCTATATCTCTTATAAAGCTAATCCCCAATACATATGTTCTATCTTAATATGCAAGACATAAACATTATTTTCTACTAACAGCCATGTCATATCACAACTTCCAACTTCTTAATGCAAGCTATCCACGTCATCTCAAGTTCGATCTCAACATGCAAGACATCCACATCATCTTCCACTAATAGCAATGTCATGTCACTAACTTCCAACCTCTTAATTCAAGCTATCCACGCCATCTCAAGTTCTATCTCAATATACAACCCAACACATCATCTTCCACTAATAGCCAATGCCATACCACTAACTTCCAACCTCTTAATGCAAGCTATCCACGTCATCTCAAGTTCTTTCTCAACATGCAAGACATTCCTCCACCAATAGCCATGTCATGCCACTAACTTCCAACCTCTTAATGCAACCTCTTCATGCGGTTGAACTGTGATTTAAACCAGCTTCACTGCCCTTGCTTGTTTAGTTGTGTTAGTAGGCACGATGTTCAGCAGAGCCTTGCAGGTGATTCTCAGGTAGGCGTGCGTGCTGTGATCGATCAGAGTCTGGTTAATTTGTATGCAACGACCACCAGCGCTAGAGCTAGAGCTCCTCTAACAAACTACGTATGTTTTGCTTCAGGGAGAAGAAGAGCAGGATCATTGGTCCAGGCTTGGTCCATGCCTTGTCCTCGGCTTCCAGCTCTCAAACTCAGAGGTTCACCACTCCCTCAGTCCCTCCCCGTGCTCACTTCTGTTCAGCTTTAATTTTTTCACTTTTCACGGAGGAGTCACTTTTTTTTTTCTACGTGCGGTTGATTCGTAGGCTGGCTGGAAAGATCGCCGTCATCACCGGGGGCGCGAGCGGCATCGGCAAGGCGACCGCCGCCGAGTTCGTGCGAAACGGGGCGAGGGTAGTCATCGCCGACATCCAGGACGACCTTGGCCGCGCCGTCGCCGCGGAGCTTGGCTCCGACAACGCGTGCTGCTACACCCGCTGTGACGTCACCGACGAGGCGCAGGTCGCCGACGCCGTGGACCTCGCGGTGGCCCGGCACGGGAAGCTCGACGTCATGTTCAACAACGCCGGCATCACGGGCTCCCCCGGGTGGCCACCGCTCGGCGCGGTGGACCTCGCCGACTTCGACCGCGTGATGGCCGTCAACGCCCGCGGAGTGCTGGCTGGGCTCAAGCACGCCGCGCGCGTCATGGTGCCGCGCCGCCGCGGCAGCATCATCTGCACCGCCAGCGCCACCGGTCTGTGCGGCGGCATGGGCGCCATCGCGTACAGCGCCTCCAAGGCGACGGTGATCGGCCTGGTGCGTGCCGTGGCGGCGGAGATGGCGTCCTCCGGGGTGCGCGTCAACGCCATCTCTCCCTACGCCATCCCGACGCCTCTGGCGCTGGCAACCGTCGCCTCGTGGCATCCGGAGAGGGGATTAAGCGCCGAGGAGATTAAGCGGATGGTGGAGATAGACTTGAACGTGATGTACGGGACGAAGCTGGAGGAGGAGGACATCGCGAGGGCGGCTCTCTACCTGGCGTCCGACGACGCCAAGTATGTCAACGGCCACAACCTCGTCGTCGACGGCGGCACGACGGTGAGCAGAAGTGCCAAAAATCCTGGCACAAGCACGCCCAAGGAGTGATGAACCGTCAGCATGGATTTTACTTCGTGGGCCCTGCTGACTTGCTGTACACCAGAATCCGTGATGGTCTCTCACGACCAACAAAAGCCCGGACGCCACTTGGTTGCCAACATGGGCGACGGGGACGGGGCCACGGTCGTCATAGCAGAGGCAGTTAGCCTTTCAGTCGGATAAATCTCCATTTCTTGTTAAGAGCAGCTCCAACAGTTCATCTAAAACTAATAGTCTAATTTCTTGTTTTAGCTATTATGTAAAATAGAAAAGTCATCAAAAAAGAGGATTCTAGAACAGTCTAGCTATTTTGCCTCTTCTATATTTGAAAACAAGCCACGTCAACATACCTGTCATCCAAATTCCAACTGATCCCAGTTTTCTGGCAAAGATGGGATCCTGCGGACTGCTTCTCACTCGCGAGAATAGGACTTCCGTGGACTGCGTCTCCCCCGTGAGAATAGAACTCTGCGGCCTACAGGTTTCGACTTCACAGATCGGTGTTCCAGGTTTCGACTTCAGACTGCACTACAAGACGCTGATTCTGGCGGCGACAGATTGCTGCCTCCGCACAAGATCAGAGTTCCCCGCCATCTGTTCTATCATACGTTGCCCTGTTCTGTCAAGTAAGTTTTCCAACACTAAATTAGTTTCTTACATTTCGTTAGAACAAAGATGCAAACACTGACGACCTTGAGATGTACAATGTTTATGCATGATGTTCTGGTGTTAATTCTTGCTTGAAATATTTATTTAGGTCACGTTATCCGATGAGCAGATTGAGGTTGTAACATTGCATGGGAAATAATTACTGAGACATTGTGTAGGTGCTCAAACAAATTCTTAGGATTCTCCTAATCAAAGGTCTATAATGGATTTAGAAGATGTACAGCAGCACACGTAGTAGTGTCAGACATTGCAAATTCAGTATGCCATCGTGGTTCTGTAGAGGGACATCATGTGTTTGAATCGTGATAGGCAGTCGGGGCACA